AGTTTATCGACATGGCCCTATAATAATTAGTAGTAGCCTGCGTTGTATTGTCTTTAGCAGTATATCCTCGGATACATAATTTCTTTTTTTCTTTTCTCTTTGGCTACTGAATTTTATTGCTATTCTTCTGCACATATATGTGATGTGGTAGATTTGTTCTCTTCATGTTTTATTGTTATTCTCTATGATCGTTAGATTTCCATTGTGCATTGTTATCCTCTGTCATTAGATAGTGTCTTGTAGCCTGTTTTCCTGATGTTTATTTGAATATGTTTTCTTTTACCCACAGATGAAGCCCATCCATTTGTCCGTTCTTCGTCAGGGTCACAAAGGCTTTGTGCCAAGATTCTTCCCTTTGTAAATATGAAAGCAACTTGCACGATCTATTCACAGACTTGCTCTGCTGCTCTGTAGCCCGACTGATTCTGTACTCTTGATCGTCCTCATGGCATCTGTCAACTCCATTGTGAATCTTCTCTTTATCTTAAGGCTGTACTCGCTGTGCTAGAATGATTAGATGATATAGTAAATACATCTTTCCTTTATACAAGGTTCAGATCATAAGGAATGTCATGTCCTGCGAACCAAGTTCAGTATGTTGTCTATCAAATATATTCCTGTTTCTTGTTCAGAATGTGATGCTCAGTAGTGCATATTTTGGCTGATATTTCTACTAAAGAGCACTTGGTGGCGATGTAAAAGTGTCGGATGGGTTTCTTGTTTGAAGATACTTGCATTGTTGACTATTATAGTCTTTTTCTGTGTAACTTAAGAAGTGTTAACATATTTTTAAAGTATTACTGTAATTTTGAATTCTGTTCACATGTGTCTGCACATCTATATATTGCTCCTATTATATTTTTCACTGCATGTTATCTTGTATGATTGCATATGCTAAATCTGGGATAATACTGACTTAGCATTACCTGTTTGATACATCTTTGCATTACCCGTCTGATTAAAACGTTAGGACCGGTATCCTCACGCTAAGGCCCGCGAACCCGATCTAGTCACACATGAGAGCGCTGCAAGAGCAACAACAAGAAATGCACACCCCTCGTCATGCATTCACAAGTGCGCGGTGGCACCGACCACGCAAAAGATGTACGTACGGCCGTGTGTCGTGGTACGGCACGACGGACCGTCTGGACAGCGACCTGTCTGGTTACGGTGCTTCCACCGCTAGCGAAGCGAAGCGAGGCTAGCTACAGTATCATTTTCATAGGGTGTGTTAGTACTCCCTCTGTAAATTAATATAAAAGCGTTTACACTCTTATATTAGTTTACAGAGGGAGTACTTAGTAGCGTACTGTGCAGGTGCAGTGCGGAATCACCAAACTTTTGGGAAAAAGATGCCCGAGCATGGAGCAGGACGGACGGTCGGTGGCCAAGATGGGTTGTTTATTCTGCTCGCTCGCTTCCCGCTCAAGTCTCCGCCTCCTTTACCATCGGAGTTTGACTTGGTCATGTATTAAGCTCTTTCTTTTTACGCCAAATGTTATGGCCAGTTGCTTCACTGTGTGTGTGTTTCATATTTTCATGGGCTGGCGTTTTGATTATGAAAAGTCTTTTTGCTTCGCTTTTATCCGATGGAGACGATATCGAATGTGTGAGGTGTGCTGAGTTATTCTGTGCGTGAATTTGACGTTGTTATACGTAACACAAAAAGTTAGCGTGTGGACACCATATTAACCTGTGAGTGGAGCCAAGCGCGACACCCATCAACAATTCACTCCCTTGCAGGTGGGCCCACCAGCGACCTCTAAAGCCTCAACACATTATGTTCCGTTATTCCTAATATAAGGAGCTCAATATCTTAGTATACTCGTGCGCAATTGCGAGCTAAGAAAATATCCTGTTTTTTTCTTTTAAGAAGTGTACTTCTACCTCGAAAAATACACAAGCACAATTCGTGTTGGGCTGGTTGCCAAACAAATGGGCAAATGAAACTTGCCTTTAGCCCCATGTTATAACATTAGGACATGATCAGCTCAAACCAGTGGGAAGAAATTCTGAAAAGGAAAAAAACAGTGGAAGTACATAAACCATAACCGTTGGCAGAGTTGGACATCGATCACGCCAGTATGGTACCTTTGTCTCGCCGGTGGGACGAAGTTGTAATAAGATCCCACGGCTCTACCTCCGTCCTGGTATGGTTGTCATACTCGACGCAATCGACATGGGGAGCTCGTGGTGTTTTTGTATCTTGATGGGTTGATGGCTCCC